TGATGTCTATATTTAGCTGTTTCGACCATGAAAGGATGGGACTGAAATGCCAACCTAGTGGCATGCTTAAATTCATGCAGTTTGGCAACCAGTGAAAGTAGCTCATCAGAGTAGTTGCCATGAAAATACTTGTAGAAAAGACAGAGGGAAGCCACAGCACGTCTATGAGAAAGTGACTGTAGATGAGATGCCAGATCAGGACAATTCACATTGCATATTCTCTGGATTTTGTCAAGAACCTCAAGATAAAGGAGCGGGAGCATCAGACCATATATGGCAGCAGTATTCCAAGGGCAAATGGTTGATTTGTAGATTTGAAGGATGGACTCAGATGGGAAAAACCTTCTGGTGCAACACAGAGAACCAACTTTCCTTGACGTAGATGAACCTATAGATTCAATGTATTTGTTCCAGTTCAGGTGAGTGAACAAATGTTTTCTAAGATTAAATTTTTCATATGAAAATAATTATTTATTCGCTTCTGAATTCAAGTGGCATGCAGTTCCAAGCTATGGGTTCATATCTTTTCCCCAAGAGTTATTTGTACAGAAGAAAGGAATGTAACAAACTTGGTAAGACTTTAAACTTGGTTTCATCCATTTCTTGTTCTGAGACATGAAACAATGAACCAGTTTAGAAAGTAGAGCATTTTTAAAAACAATTTTTCAAATTTGATATGTTCCTATATCTTATTTAAGATTCTTAAAACCTAATGACTTTCTTGATATTAAATCAATTATCACTAGTGAGTCATATCAAGAAAACAATGTTATTAACACTAAATATATTATGGAGGGGAGGGAACACATGAACAAATAGAGACAGGGGAGTCGGTTATGTTTGAAAGATAAATAAAATATAAATAAACATATAGATAAATCAAAATACAGATGAATTGAACTTGCCTCTCCCCACCACTGTTTGTATACAGGACACTGAATTTTCTGATGTATATTGCACTATTGTGCATATGTGGGTGCATATCAGATTGGTTAGAACATCAGATTCTAATCATGAATCTCAGGTTCACATCTGACCATGACTGATTTATCCAGGAAGTGTCTGTTTGAAAATATCAGCACCAAGAGACAATCCCAGCATGAAAATCACAGGTTGACCCGAGCCTTGTGAATTAAACTGGGTAGATGAAACTGTTTGGAAGCCATCAGTGATTATGTTACCTCAGTCAGAAGTCATCATGATGGAGAGTTTGAGCATTCTAGCCTGGCTCAAGTAGCAGATTGTGCACTCTTTCCAGGAAAACTGTATCTAAGGTCTGCTCAGTATAGTTTCATTATAAACCACAGGTTGGCTCTGTGCAGTTGAAGAAATGCAAATGTGCCTGAGCAGCTGTCTGCAACAGGTATTAGGTCATCATCCTAGCTCACTTGGAAATGAGCAGATGGCTATATGAATTAAGATTATTGGGATTAGTATTCTATCTAAGCTGCAATACTATTTTAAAGTTTGGGATTAAAAAAAAAGAAGAAAAAGATAAAGCTATAGCTGAGTGGTTAGAATATCAGCATTCTGACCATGAAGTCTGCGTTCATATCTCTGCCCATGGTCCATTGGGACTTCATCAGAGAAAATATATATCTTTCCTCCAAAACTGTTCTTTATATATATATATATATATATATATATATATATATATATATATGTATCCAGATATGATGAGAACAAATGAAGTATAATTCTACTGTCCATAACATATAATTTAAAAGAGGGCTCAATACAGAGTAGAGCTAAATATTTTTTTCGAAAAAAGAGGAAGTATTCTGTTTTGAAATTAATCATTCACTCATCAGTAAATTTGTAGTGTTGAAACATTGCTATTGTGTAGCAATTTTTAACATTTTGTTTTACTCTGCTATAATAAAATATTATGTGTCTATGTGTGTATATATATATATATATATATATATATATACACACACACACACATGTTTATATACACATACATATGTATATACATACACATGTATATATACACACACATATATATATAAAATATGTATATGTATAAACATATGAATATATACATACATGTATATATTTAAATACACATACATATTATATACATACATCTATATATTTAAATGCACATATGTATATTATATATATATATATATATATATATATATATATATACACACATATATACACATCAATATATTTAAATGCACATATGTATATTATATATATATATACATACATCTATATATCTAAATGCACATATGTATATTATATATATATATATATATGTATATATTTAAGTAATTCATTGAGTCTGAAAGAAACCTCAACAGAATGCAGAAAGCACTGGTCAGCCGTTTCGTCCTATATTTGGGACTCATCAGCAGTGCGCATCCACTACCAAGAATTGAAACCCTGACAGTAAGGTTGTCAAGCAAACAACTGTTCTGATGGGCCTCGGTGATGAAGAGATTGCAAATCAGACTCAATATAGCACCGCTCGCTCACATATTCCGTGGTGGAACTCTTACTGAGTTCTCTCTAACCATAGGACTGTGCCCCCTGGAGCCATGACTACTTTCACCAAGCCACTCAAACTTGAGCAATTGAGCATTATCAAATCCTCCTAATAATTTATATATATATATATATATATATATATATATATATATATATATGGTGGTTGCCAACTCGTGTCTGAGTATGGCCATTACTACATATCTCTTTGGAGAATATCTACTGATATGCTGAACAAATGTGGCTCTTTAGCCCAACAAGGGACCTACATACTCTGGCACAAGCAGGGCAACTTAAGAGGTCCAACAAGCAGTGGCACATTATCATGCAATTTAAAATGTCACAGGAAACCACTTCTGGACCCGCATATCTTACCACAAATATCACATTTAAGTTACTGGATGTCTATGGTTTTATAGACTATTGCCACCTTCCATCAGTGCACTCTCAAGTGACTCTTTAGACCAGCCATTGACAAACATACTCACCAGATCAAGCTGCCTGTGGGTGTCTTCAGAATGTTCAGTGGGGACACCTTTATGCACATCCCTTTTAACCTTTGAGTTCCTCCTCTTCTCATCTTCAATGTGACACCTTCCACTACAAGCATTCCAAACATTGTGATCAGATGCACATTTTTCCCAATGCTCACAAAGAATGTTGCATTTCCACAGTGCATCCTTGATGCAGTCCTTAATGTGCATCTTAGGTTTGATGGCATTTTTCTTCCCAGTTCACAGCACACCATAAAACGATTGCTTTGAGATGCAGCTGTCATCCATTCTGATGAGGTGACCTGTCCACCAAAGTTGATGTTTTAGTGTCAAGAACTATATGTTTTAGTCCTTGATACTAATATATGCATATAGACACACACACACACAGACTCTATTCACTCATATCTCTCCAGTATTTCCATTTAGAGTGACTACACCAGTCTACCTGCATGTCAAACCACTTGCAATTAACCAATATTCAACAGTGTGTGTTTGTGTGTGTGTGTATATATATATATATATGTGTGTGTGTGTGTGTGTGTGTGTGTGTGTGTGTATGTATGTATGTGTGTGTGTTTTTGTGTGTGTGTGTGTGTGTGTGTGTGTGTCAGTGTGTGTGTGTGTGTGTTTGTGTATGTATGTAAAACAGATGTGGACATATGGCCAAGTGTTTAAAACATTGTTCTAAACATTAGCATGCTGACCATGAGACCTGGGTTCAAATCTCCCCATGGTCGATTTGTTAAGGAGATGACTTCTTCATAATAGTGGGCTGGGGAGACAATTGCAGCATGAGACACTATTAGGAAGTACTTGAATGTCATGACACAGGTTGACCCTAGCCCTGTGATAGAAATTGAAGAGATAGAACTGTTCAGAATCAGTTGATGCTTGTGCTAACATGAAGTCACAAGTCATTGTGAGCAAGAGTTTGAGTGTACTGGCCTTGTTCAGAACTGTTAATTATGTAGCAATATCAGTGTCAGCCAATATCTTGTTAAATGGAAAACGTCTGTGCTGTCACAAAAATGATTTCAGATATTTATTTGCCCTGATAACTATCACTTAAGTGAAGTGGTCCTCACAAGGACCATGGAAAACAGACAAAGAAGGTCACTGAATGAAGATAAATTACTTTTTTAGATAAAGATATCAAGACAAATAACAATGTTCTCTATAAGACAGTGGTCACTATCTGCAAAAAAATGCAGAATGATGAGAAGATTGCTTTGGGAAGATACCCATTAGACTGTTCACCTCACTCCTCACCTATGATTCACCTTGGCTTTGCTTGTCTTCAGCAGTAGGTTACAACCCCAAAATAAAATCTTCTTACTGCTACAAATTCCCATCATTTTAATTTGTAGGTAACAATCTAGAGAAAGAATTATTTTTTAAGCCACAAACATCGAAAGAAAATATGTGGTGTTTGGTCTAAACAGCAATGCTACAATTTCACTAGATTAAATGCTCTGTCTCGAAAACTAAGGTCAGCTCAGTTTAGTTGCAGTATAGACAATAGGCTGGCTCTGTGGGTATTGAAAAAACACAGTTGTGCCTGAGCAGGGTGTCTGCAAAAGGGACTAGTTAGCCGCCCTAGAAGACAGGCATACTTGGAAAACATGCAGCCAACTGTTCATTGTATGTAGTCTTTGTTTAATAAACCTAAATTTGGTTTTATTACAGTCACGCATTATTTCCTTATTAGGTCAAATTCCTTACAAAAGAAAAGTCATTAAAAAAAATAAAGTGAAATGTGTTCTAAGCAAATTTGTTCAACGGCAATGTCCATTTTCTTGAAAAGTTGAAAAGATGTAAAGAATAAATAGAACATCAGTGCCAGTCATTGTTCAAAAACGGCAACGTTGTCTTTGACAATGAGAAAGTATGCGTAACATCAACTGCAAAAGACAATGGCAGTTGTGTATGTAATCTTCATTTTTATTTTTGCTCTGTGTCCTAATAAAGAAAAATATTCTTATGTCGATTATTTTTTCAGTCAATTCTTCATTTATTGTTTCTAGCATTACATTGGTGAAACCTCATGGGAGACGGGCAGAGAAAAGAAAAGAAAAATGAACCAAAAATTATTATTTCATTACTTTTAGGCCTGCTTTGTGCTGGGGAGGTGCTGTCAGTTAAAGAAAAGTGATAAAAAATTGGATGAGAGAGGAAGAGGCAAAATGTGACAATGAGAGATGTTAAAATTAGAAAAAGTATGCAGAGGTGGGAGAGAGAACTGAAGAAAGAGAAAGTGAAGCTAAAGGAATAAATAAAACAGGGAAATAGAGGAGAAAAAAGAAAAGTGAAAGGGTGGAAAGAGAGAGAGAGAGAGAGAGAGAGAGATAAAAAGTGAAAGGGTAAAGAAAGAGGAATAAGAAAAATGACTGAGTGGAGAAAGAAGAATAATGAAAGAATGGAGAAAGAGAGAAATAAGCAAAGTGAAAGGGTGGAGAAAGAGAGAGAGAGATAAATAAGAAAAGTGAAAGGGTGGAAAGAGAGAGAGAGAGAGAGAGAGAAATAAAAAATGAAAGTGTGGAGAAAGAAAGATATAAGAAAAATGAATGAGTAGAGAAAGAGAAATAAGAAAAGTGTTAGAGTGGAGAAAGAGAGAACTAAGAAAAGTGAAAGGGTTGAGAGAGAGAAAAAGAAATAAAAAAAGTGAAAGGGTTGAGAGAGAGAGAGAGAGAGAGCAAGAGTGCAAAATAAGAAAAGTGGTAAGGAGGAGAAAGAGAGAGAGAGAGAGAGAGAGAGAGAAAGAAATAAGAAAATTAAATTGAAGAGGAAAAAATGGAAACAAAATGCCAACAAGGAAATAAAAAATTTAAACATCAAACTGGTTTTCATGTATTCCATCTTACATACTTTGTTTGAATATTTCATATCACTCATTTATAGTAACAAATATATATTTATGCTACGTTAAGTAAAATATATTGTTAAAACATTTTATATGATCAAAGTTTTTTATAGAATTGATATTTAGATTCCCATAAATTGTCATAATCAATTGATAGAAATCAACTTCTGTGTTCCCACTGTCTATCCAAAGATATATTTTTAATGAACGGCAGGTGTTCTAACAGGTAATGTTTATAGATATATTTTTAAATTTTATGAACTGTAAAAATTTAAAAATTGGCCACAACATTTTTAAGTAGCAGAGTTGCTATGGTAGCAAGTATCTTTAGATTTTTTCACTTGTTTCTATAATCCTTATAAGAGAAATTCAAATCATCAACAAGAACAAAAACTTAAATGTTCAACTGGTTTTCATGTATTCCATTTTACATCCTGTTTTCAGTTATTCTATATCATATATATATATATATATATATATATATATATATATATATATATATATTATATATTGCACTTTGTGTCATAAAACCTAATAAATCCAAAACAAATTATGGACAATATTTTTAATAGGAACCAGGGCCAGCTCAAGGGACTGGCAATTTGGGCAGTCACCCAGGGTGACATCAAGGCCAAGGATGACATCATCCTGCCATGTCATGTATTTAGGATCTTCCAAAACTAAAGCTTATAAAGACATACTTGCAATCACCCATGACAAGGCAGATTAAATTCTTTGGCTATTTTGTCAGTAAAAAATAGTCTTGTAAACAGTATAGGTGTAGAAAGTACTATAAAAAGATTTGCAGATGTAAAGCCTAGAAAAATGTTTTAGGTAGGATAATGAATGTTTTCTTTAGCTTGTATTAAGTTGCATATTGTAATAAACTTGTTATTATTTTCAGTTTTTCTCCTTGTGAAAATTTAAAAAATATTATACTTGTAAGGATACCAAGGTTCAGCTTGCTTGGGTGTCACTAGGGCTGTCACTGATAGGAACAGATATTTTAACCTGGAACTCATATAGCACGTGTACTGCTTGTTTAAATTTGTTATGGAGTGCACCCCCAATGACTATATGAATTAGTCCATAACTATAAAGAGCCCCAGGTCAGAGATAAGAAGAAGCTGCCATTTGGAGTCAGTCTTCAGACTAATTAATACAGGCACCATAGCAAGTTACCAAAGCATTACTTATAAGTGCTACAAAGTGCATTGTAACAGTGGTAATGAGGGATTCAAAACTCAGGCAATTTATAACCATTGTGATGAAGATTCAGAACTCTTACAAACAGTAATAAGAATTCAAGAATTAATACAAGTTGTAACTGGAGTTACAAGGAGTTTGGAAACTGAGTGAACAAGTATAGAAAATGATATTTGTTTCTTCAGGAACAAGGATACAGGTGACAAAAGAATTTTAAAATAGACTTGGGCTGAGATCCTGCATTGAGTGCCTCTGAAATTGACACTAGCTGCCAACCAGAATTCTTGATTCCAAGACTTTGAACCCAGGCTTCCAGAGAGATTAATGTGGGAAGGGTTTATTTTGTTGTACCAAGAGCTATATAAACCAACTGAAGATTAACCCCATGAATCTATCGTTTTATTTTTTCTTGCAAAGATATTTTTCTTCCTTAATATAGCACCTACCACGGCTTGAACCAGCACTGCCATTATGATGACATTTGATCCTCCACTGCTCTAAGATCAAGAACAAAAATGTGGACAAAGACAGTATGAATCAAAGTGTCCAGCGACCAACAACCAGGATGGACCAATGTCAGCAATGATCAGCGCAGAGTTAGCCCGTGGTTAAAGCATCATTCTAAGACCCTGAGGACTGGACCACTAAACATGGTTACACCACTGGGTGAAAGGTGTTATACTAAGAGAGTACGGACTCAAGCTCAGTGAAGAAAAATGTGAATTGTTTTTGCCAAAAATTAAATACCTTGGTCAAATTATTGATAAAAATGGTCATCAACCAGATCTGTCAAGGGCAAGTGCAATTAAAAACCAGCAAATGTGACTACATTACAAGCTTTTCTAGGACTGGCTAATTACTATCAAATATATACACATAATATGAATAATTTGAGAGCTGCACTGAATGATTTACTTAAAAAAGGTGTAAAGTGGAACTGGAATGATAACTGTCAAAAGGCATTTGACAAAATAAAATAAAGGTTTATATTAGATTTATATCATTAGCATGCTATGATCCAAAAGCAGAAATTATAGTGGTGCCAGATACTAGTGAGTATAGTATTGGAGTTGGTGATTTTACACAAATACAATGGTGATAAAATCAAAGCCTTCACTCATGCTTCATTCTTCCTTCTACCAGCAGAGAAAATTTACAGCCAGATAAAAAAAGAGTCTCTAGCAATTATATTTGCTGTGAAGAAATTTCATAAATTTATTCATGGAAGAAATTTTAGGTCGTAAACAGTCCACAGACCTTTATTAACAATATATGGTTCAAAGAAAGGAATACCTATGCATACAGTTAATAGACTACAACTCTGGGGTAGCATCTTATTAAACTATGATTTTATAATGGAGTACCAACTGTATAAAAAATTAGGACATGCAGATTAATTATCAAGATTAATACCTAAAAATGCAGAACCATTTGAGGACACAGTCATTGCGGCACTAAAAAACAAAATGGAAATAAAAAAAATTTTGAGCAATGTAGTATGACCAGTTACCCTGGAAGAAATAAAAGAAAAAGCGGAAAATGATATTTTTATTCCAAAAATCAAAAAGCAATTGAAAGAAAGTAACAAAGAACAAAATCCAGACTTAATTATTTACTTACTATGCAATGGATGTAGTAATATTGGGTCAAAGGTGTTACAGAAGCGAATATTGAAGGACTTTCATTGAAGACATCCTGAAGAATGAAATCTGATGAGAAGTTTTGTATATTGGACTAGAATGGACCAAGATTTTGAAAAAATAGTGAAAGCTTGCAGAGGTTGTGCTCTGGCAGCAAAACTACCTATCACAAAGATAGAACCTTGGCCAAAGACAGACAAGCTGTGGTCAACACTGCATATAGATTTTGCAGGTCCTATGAATAGATCACATTATCTTGTGGTAGTTAATAGTGTCACTAAATTTATAATTGCAAAAATCCACCATCTTCAGTGACAGTGAATTTCTTGCATGAATTGTTTGTAAAATATTGCATACCAGATCCTGTAGTCTCTGATAATGGAACACAATTCACGGATAAGGAATGAAAAGACTTTTGTAAGATGTTCTCCATTGAGCATATTACTACTCCCCCCTCTATAATACGCAAGGTTGAATGGACAAGTGGAACAGTTTGTGGGAATATTCAAAAGAATGTTGAAAGAAGAAAGTCTTGAGAAAGTAAATGAGGAAGCACTTCAAAATTTTCTGAGAGTTTACTGTGTAACACCTAACCCCAATACACCAATGGAATTAATATTTGCTAGAAAAGTAAAATCGGTGTTTTACAAGTTATTACCAAGTCGAAAAACATGAAGAGATAGCAAAAACAATACCAAAAAATTCAAGGTTGGTGATAAAGTGTTCTTTAGAGCATTTAAGGATGGTAAAGAATCATGGGAAGACAGTATACTATCAGCAAGAATCAGGAAATTGATTTATATGGTAAAAGGGAAAAGATTTCAACATAAAAGGCACCATAATCAGTTGAAAAATCGATGAAAGATCTGAAACATTGGATGAACAGATAAAAATGATATCAATGTGACATCACCACAACAAGTTGTGGAACCTCCAAGAACAAGTTCCATAAAAAGAAAGTAAAGTGAAGAAAAGGAAGTGGAGCTGAGACAGAAAGGCTACAAAGTCACATACGTTGGTGAACTCTCCAGAAAGAAGAGGTGGGGAGATAGTAATACTAATAAAAAATAAAATATTTATAAAAAATATTAATCTCAAAAGTGGGGGATGTTGTGGAGTAAATAGTCCATAAGTATAAAGAGCTCCAGGTCAAAGAGAAGCTGTTTGGAATCAATATTCAGATTAATTAATAAAGGTGTCATGGCAAGTGGCCAAACCATTACCCATATTATAAGTGCTACAAAGTACATTATAACAAAATTATAAGATTATCGTTGGAATTTTAACAGAAATTGCTTAATAATACCAAATTTATTGAGAAAAACTTTACTTACATCCTAATATCTTACATAATATACTGAAAAAAGAATTTTTATAAAGATGAGTGATGGAAAGTTCCAAAAGTATTTAATTGCAATTGGGATGACCTTTTTTAACTTGTTTACAAAATAGAAGAATATAAAAGTGGCATGATAGTTATCATTATGAAAAATGGAACCAGCAGACCAAGTTCAAATTGCATTGAAGCCTGTTGCAATCACCTTGAATTGTCATTTCCTCATAGCTATAGGCTAAAGAGCTAGACAGAATGGGACCCCCTCTGTCTTTGGTCTTATAGAAAGACTACTCTGAATTCAAAACCATGGATAGTCTAGGCAGTAAGAAACTACTCCACTATCTTTCCCCAAAACAGTCATGTCAATTCAGATATTAAAGAAAAGGAAGCTGTGAAGAGTCATGACTGCTGTCATTATGATGATACAGAGTATTAAAAAGATCCAGTAAATTAAAGATAAATCCTTTGAATGACTTGAAAAAAGTTGAAGAGAGTTGATTTCTTTCCTTATTTAGAGAGAAGAACGAAAAGAGAAAGAGGGGGAAATGGAAAGAATAAATAAAAATGGAGAGGATAAGAAGAGGAAAAATACATAGGGGATAAAAAGAGAAAAATAAGTAAAATAAAAGAAATAAAGAAAGAAAGAAAGACAGAAAGAAAGAAAGAAATCATGGAAATATAAATAAAGAAGAAAGAAAGAAAGAAAGAAAGAAAGAAAGAAAGAAAGAAAGAAAGAAAGAAAGAAAGGAAAAACAAAGAAAAAAGAAATCATGGAAATATAAATAAAGAA